ATTGGTAATGACAATAAATTAATTGGAAATGACCATATTCATAGTAGCATCTTTATTGTCAATCTGTAATGGCCATATTGTAAATGACAATAAAGGAACTGGAAATGACCATAACGTACTTGGAAAGACTAGATATTTAGTATTTGTATAACAATTATGACTTAATGATTGTACATTGATGACTTTGCAGAACTATACGAGATGGTGTTGGAAGAAAGGAAAGGGTCCAAAAGCAAAGGAGTACACAGTGGGCTTGTGTTGTTCAGAAGGGAGTATATGGCAAAACGAGGGGAGAGGTGTAAAAACGCAAGAGAAGAAAAAATTGAAGTGGGGAAGGCATGGAGGGCCCTGAGTGAAGAAGAGAAAGATAGGTATAATGAGAGGGTAAAGAAAACGAAGCCAGAGAAAGGTGAAAAGAAGAAGTATGATATTCCCTTGTGCACCCAGTGCTTATTGCCCGGATTTCTATCATTGGCTGAGTATGTGAAGAAGAACAGGAGGTTAAGGCAGAAAGTTGAGAGGATGGGATTTGGGAACTTGCTTAATGTGAATGTGAAGCAACTTCCACGTGATCTACTTGTGTCATTGTTGAGATGCTATGACCCACCAACGCATTTTTTGACCATTAGGGGGCAAGGGCAGGCAATTGAAGCAAAAGGTGCTCATGAGTTTCTAGGTGTACCTGACAGTAGGGGGAAGTGAAATCTGATATTAGTGAGGATGACCCGGAATATAAGAGGTTAAAGGACACTTATTGGAAGGTTCCATTTACCCAGATACTGAAGAGGATATTATCTAGGAAAGAAAGCAACAATTTTGAGTTCCTATTTATGCTTTATATAGTTGGAGCTTTTTTATGTTCTGGGTCAAGCACAACTGTGCATATACATTTGTTGAAAGTGATGTGTCACATGATGGATGGGTTTGGGAAATATGATTGGTCAACATACATAATTAAGAACCTGTGGAAGGAAATGGGAGACTTTGTGAAGATGACAAAGAAGAAGAAGAAAGGAACCTGCAATATTGGAGGGTGTCTTTATTTGCTGTTGGTAAGTCAATATTTTTCTTATGGTTCACTATATTTTTGTTTTATGTTATTGTTGCAGAAGTGTGACCTATCTTTATTTGGTTTTACAGTTGTATTTTGCTGAGCGTTTCCTGTCGGGATTGTCAATTGATCGGGATTCAACAAGCCCCATTGAATATTGGACTGAGGAGAAGATAAAGGAGAGGGTGGAGAAAGAGAGAGGTAGCAGCATGGGAATATTACATGGAAGTAGTGGCAGCGAGGTTTACTCAGCAGGACATGAGGACAGTCCAATTCTGCAGTCTTTAGATCCGGTATGTGGGAATTTAGAAAATATACGTGACCTGAGTTTAAGTAAGTATATTAGCAAGGTTGATACTTGAGATGACAAGACTTTATTTACAAATGACCAGTGAGATACGGGTATTCGATAACAATGATCAATTTTTTTGATATCTTCATTTACTGTGTATGCAGGCGTTGAAGGATTTGAGGGCCCGTTTTGTTAAGAAGCTTGAAGAAAGCCAGAGGACGTTAATAAAGGCTCTTGACAATGAGCTACTCAAACTGCAGATTGGATCGAACGTCAAAGTTAAGGAGATGGGAAATGAGAATGCCACTACTAAAGAAAGGGTTGAAATAGTTGGTGATACAGGTGGTAACAATACTGAAGAAGCTGATGATGTTGACCGATTGGTGGAGGAGATTGCAAGAGAGGTTGTAGCGGGAAGCGGAGATGAGGAACTTGATGAGGATGAAACCAGCAAAGGAGATGATGAGAAGGATGAGGATGAGGATGAAGAAGAACATGACCTTCATGACAGGGAAGTCAGTGATGATTACATAGTTGAGGAGGTGGAAGATGAAGGTGACCGTGATGGTCATGGAGGTGATGATGACGACGATGAGGATGAGAAGGAAGATGACCATGATGACAGGGAAGGAGGTCATGTGGTTGATAAGGAGGAAGATGACCATGATGACATGGAAGTCAGTCATGATTATGTGGTTGAAGAGGCGGAAGATGATGATAAGGAGGTTCGGGATTTAGATGATGAGGGTGAGGAAGATACACATGTACTGACAATGACCCCTACCAATGTTTCTTTATTGTTGGATCGCGAATGGGTGAGCAGTGACAGTGGGGAGGAAGGAGGGCCTGAAAAATCGACTGAGCTTAGGAGGTCAACAATGGCAAAGAGTTCCACAATTAAATCTCCGTGGATAGAATTCAAGGCAGCTCCGAGGACGAAGAGGCCAAAGGAGGAAAGGGACATTTTTTTCACTTTAATATCCCATAGACCCAAGGGAGAGGAAGAGGGGAAGATATAAGTATATCCCTCCCTAGCCTTTTGTTTTTAAATGACATGGTGTGCCCTGACAATGACAGCAATAGAATTGAAAATGACAATAAAATACATGGGGATGACAAGTGATGATATCCCCAACACCATACTTTCTGTCACTGACATATGACAATGTTTACAGGACTGTTATCAAAATGTTTGATGAAGATATAGACCGACAACAACTGTTTTCCCTGGGTGGAGTGAACAGAGTAAATGACAGGGTATTTTAGAATGCTCTGTCCCTGCACCCATGATTATGTTTGATAATGTTTGGTGAGATTATTGTATTAGAATAACGTTTTCACTTGTCTTCTGTAGGTGCTTAATTTGGTGTGCAAGGCAGTGATGGAGGACATGAAGGCAAAGTTGGGGCCAGGGAAAAGGCATATTTTCGATGTGGATTTCATGGTGAGGTTGCATAATTTCGAATGCAAATACCAATGACAGCAATTGAATTGGAAATGACTTGTTCTCTGTTAATGGATTAACAATTTCATGTCATGTAGAACATGATGGCACATGATCCAACCCGGAAAGCCCAAAAATATAATAAGCTCTTTCTTCATGAGTTCCTTGGCTACAACTTAGCTGAATGTGATTTCATAATTGGCTCGGCTCTTGTTGGCCAACACTGGTTTTGCGTTGCCATTCAGCCCAACACATTGGATTTCCACATATTAGACTCTATGAGTGACCATTTTGGAACTAAGGACAGAAAGAAGAAGAAGAAGGTTATCATCAAAGACCCAGTGGAGATGGCCGTGGATGATTGTGTAAGAAAAAACTCATTATCTTTACCCTAGTTTTTGAACTTGTAAAATCATTAAACTTTCTATGTTGGTCCTGAATCTTTTTGTAGAGGATGAGGTTCAATATTATACTGGACTTGGTCAAGCTAGGATTGGTTGGGAAAAAGCCAATGTCTCCCATGATATTTGCAGAAGTTCCCCAGTAGAATAACTTGTCAATTTTGTCAAATTCGAATTCTGTGTGGTAAATGCACATGTCAGATGTGTTAACTAACTGTGTTGATATTATTGTGTCCACAGGAGGGATTGTGGGGTGCACTGCATGATGTGGCTGAGAAGATGGGAACCTGGTGTGACCCTTACCTACACAGAGGAAGAAGTTGCTGGCTTTCGTCATGACCTGACATGGTGGTTGGTGAATCATGAACTGAATGAAAAACGTGACGAGGCCTTGGCTCTTATTCGACAACCACAACCAACCAAGGGCACAAAGTCCAAGAAAAGGCATCGGTCTTAGGTGTCTCGATGTTAGGCTCATAATTCACTTGTCCTCTATTAGATTGCTGTATGTAATGTGCATTGTAGGCTTACCAAAAATTTACTGTGTATTCTTATGGTTAACAGAGATTGGTGTCCATAAATTTATGATTGTTCAGATCCATGATGCCAATTTATTCCCTAATGACATGAAAGAATTTGAGTTTAACCACACCAAAACAAATGATGACAACAACCCCATTGGACATGTGCTATTCATTTCCATTTTTTGTTCAGGTCACTCAATTTTACTTCAATATATCCTGTTAGTATCCAACAGAAAATGACACCAAGTGAAGCGAATATAACTACGATAATGATAATGATAACTTAATCTGATTATATCATATCAGTTTAAGATCAACTGTCAGCTTATGCCGATAGCATCACTGCCAATGACCAGAACAAATTTAAAAATGACAACAGTGATCCGAATATGACAACGATAATGATAAGGATAACCTGATCTGATTATATAACATCAGTTTAACATCAACTGTCAGCTTATGCTGATAGCATCACTGCCAATGACCAGAACAAATTTAAAAATGACAACAAGTGATCCGAATATGACAACGATAATGATAAGGATAACTTGATCTGATTATATAACATCAGTTTAACATCAACTGTCAACTTACGCTGATAGCATCACTGCCAATGACCGGAACAAATTTGAAAATGACAAGTGATCCGAATATGACAACGATAATGATAAGGATAACCTGATCTGATTATATAACATCAGTTTAACATCAACTGTCAGCTTATGCTGATAGCATCACTGTCAATGACTAGAACAAATTTGAAAATGACAAGTGATCCGAATATGACAACGATAATGATAAGGATAACCTGATTTGATTATATAACATCAGTTTAACATCAACTGTCAGCTTATGCTGATAGCTTCATTGCCAATGACCAGAACAAATTTGGAAATGACAACAAGTGATCCAAATATGACAACGATAATTATAAGGATAACTTGATCTGATTATATAACATCAGTTTAACATCAACTGTCAGCTTATGCTGATAGCTTCATTGCCAATGACCAGAACAAATTTGGAAATGACAACAACTAATACGCCATTAAGAAAAGCTAACATCTCCATAACAGTAACTTCCTTTCATATATTCAACGACAAGTGGACATTAAGATATTAGCCACACTTAATGTTCCCTTATCACTGAAATTTCTATCATCTTACTTATGAAAAAAATGTCTCCACTTAGCTCCTAACTACAACCCCAGTCTCAAAAAAGTTGACAAGGGCGGAGCATACAACTATGTACACTAAAAAATGACCCATCCCCACTATACTCGAAACTTCATGATTGGTTAGGATTTCTGCAATTCCTGCTTGTGTGTCGAGGTTGGTGGCATCTTCCACATTGGTATATCCGTTTGTTCTGGAACTGTGATTCATCCCTGTTTACTTTTGGCCTTCTTGGTGGTCGAGATGTAATGGGAGGTAGCAAGAAAACTTGCTCACTGACATTTTCTATTCTATAGTAGTCATTTGGGCGAGGCATGTCTGTTATTACCACAAGAATCATACTGGGAGCATAAATCTTTTCTTGTGATGACTTTTTATAGCAATTATCAACATAATCATAAATATTGCCGTGCACAATCTTGACGGCAGCATAAGCATGGGAACAAGGGATCCCGGTCATTTGCCAAGATCTGCAACTGTATTAGTGTAGTCCAAGATCAACCCGATAGTCTCCACGTGATGTTGTCACCTTCACTCTTCCCCCACCATAATTTTCAGCATACATATGGTCAGACCCAACCACCATATCCAGCACCTTACTCTCTATATTTGGACCAACGCAATTCTTCCATTTGGTCATAGCCACATAGGAGGCATGCAGCTTTCTTGCAACTTTATCTCGGTGCTCATAGATCAATTGAGGTAGAGTATGCTTTCTCTCATTGACTATCTATGCATTGAATGATTCTGCTATATTACTTATAATATTGTCCCATCTTTTATATAGGAACCTGCTTTTAGCCCACCTATCTACATCTCCATGACGAATAAGCCAATCAAATAGCCTTGGAGAAAAGGATCTCATGTCATCCATTGCTACCTCAAATTTCTCATCCGTCCTTGCATATGCAATTTTATCCAATAAATGTAGTGCATCCTCTTTTGATCAGCCATTTGTCCTTATTTGCCCCTTATTCATTTTCATAACTTCTGAACTAAAATTCTCCTTGATGTGTCTATAACAACAGGCATGCCTTTGACCCCCAAAGATTGATGCCACTCCTCTGATGATAGCATTGTGTCGATCTGATACAATCGTTACTTCCACAGAACCAGGATTTTTTTTATCATATAGAAAAATCGCGTCCAGTCATCTAGTGTTTCTCCCTTGACAATTGCAATTACAAACGGTAGCATCTCGTTACCTGCATCATAAGCTAAAGCTGATAACATTGTCCCCTTGTATGGTCTGCTTAAGTGAGTTCCATCAACATACATAATATGCCTCGCGCCACCCAAGAAACTCTCAATGCATGACCTGTAGGCAATGAAAACACGCTCAAATCGGTTCCCAATAGTAGTCCATTCAGCCACGAATTTTTCATCTGTTTCCTTTAGCCTTTTGCATACCCATGGTATGAGCATGTATGATTGTTCAGGCCTGCCATATATGTCTTCCAATGACTTCTCTTTTGCCCTATAAGCCTGTTTATATGTTAGATCAATCTCATACTCTCGTTTCAACTTCTTCCTTATCTCAGAAGTGCGCTTGTTTGCATGATCCCTCATCTTATTAATTATTATTGATGAGTTCAAACTAGCTCTTCCACTATACATCACGCCCTAGCCATCTTGGGCAGAATGAACATGCCAGTTTATAAATGTCGTCACTCGTAGCACATCACAACTCTTCCCCACATGATTTGCACATAGCTTCCATGGATAACCCTCAACTTTACACCTCATCAACATGAATTCCTTGCTATTCCTCACATACTTGGGCACAAACTTGTTTGCAAGTGCAAATTTGTATGCAGACACACGAAATACATCTGTACTAGGAAAACGTTGGCCCACTCCTGTAAAAAGTCCCCTCCGTTCCACATGAACTATCTCACCACCATCTGTATCTTCAACTCTGATAGATGTATCTACATTAGGGGGCCCACTTCTTTCATCATTGTCACGTTCACGAGCATTTTCTTCACTGAGCCAGCCATAATCACAACACAAACTAATGGGAGACGCATCCAGTTCCGTTTGTTGTGACAGGCCCATGAATCTCTCTGTTCTGCATTCAGAATGATAAGACTTGTTAACACAAATGACAAGATGAAATTCATAAATGACAACAAATAGTTAGGACAAACTTCCACTTACATTTCTACATTGTCCCTTGGTTAGGGACCCCTTGCCTTTTTTCGACCACATACACATGACCGCTATTCCCATTGTATTGAAAGAGGTTATACATTTCAGCATTGTCATAAAGGTCAATCAGTGTCTTCTCATCAAAGGCCATTATGTACTTAATGTCATAATTTCTTCTATCACCACCAATCCACTCACATATCATTAGCCTCAATTCTTCAAGTGTCAGCCCATCCTTAATGCTTCTTAACCTCACGCCACCTCCATTATATCTTACTTCACCTTCACCATTTGTCACAAATTTCCCTCCCACATGAAAATAACAGAACAGCTCCTTCCACAAGATGACCCAGCTTCGAAATTCATTTTCCTTCATTACCTGCACTGATAACAGAAGTCGAATGATTATATGACTTAATACCATCATCATCAACTTACACGACCAACTTAGGATTTGACACATTCATGCTTATAATTTGCAACAAAACACTCATTTCTTTCCTGTCCACACTAATGGTTCATTTTCTTAGAGTCAATCCACTCCATTATTCGAATCTCCCTTCAACATTGTGCCTTTATCTGACACTAATTGTAACATCACTTATCTCTAACCTGTTACTAACCTTTTTAAACTCCAAATTTAATAATACTAACCATGGTAGAAAAGAATCTTAGTATAATATTTGAAAAGGCTACCATGGTTATAAAAAGAAATTTGATTCACCAAGAATGTTAATAATGATAGAAAAGACCTGAACTAATTATTCAAAATGTCTATCATGATTATAAGAGTTTTACTAAGTAAATTATATGAATACCGTAACTAATAATATTTCACAATAACTGGGTCTTGGGCTTTGCAAAGCCCAGCACATCACAATTCATCTCTAAGCCCATACCATGACATTTTCTAAATAAAATTTGTCCAAACCAACAGTAATCAACTACTTTCAAAAGCTATTGTGGGTTCACAACTTACAGACCCAATCAACCCAACAACAAAAGTAACTAAGACCATAAGTCTCGATTAAATCAGAGTATGCAAAAAGAGCTATATGTGGCAATATACAATACTCATCACATGACAAAAAGGAGGCTATACAAGATAAACTTGATAGCTAAGCCTTTGCTGCCTTCCCTGATGGACCAGCCCTAGAGCTATTATCTGAAAATGTTAAACCACAGGGTGAGACAAAAGCCTCAGTAACCAACAATCCTACTCATTAGGCATACAAGTAAGTGCTTGAGAGGTGTCAAGTGGAACAGTTACTAAAATCATAACATTCACAATTGTCACATGGTTATATATATATATATATATACACACACATATCAAAATACAATATCTCACTCTCAATTCCACCTTATTTCCTCTGATTGAACCCATGGGCTAGTACTGTCCCATGTGACTGGTAGTTCAACATAATAAGCTCACCGATCAAGTGATGTGAACAGGCCAAAATCCACAGAGCACAAGATCAGACCATGGGTTCCCCCTCTAGTCCATTAGCGGGGTGTCATACGCCCTACAACACATGATAGGGCCAAAGGATCAACCAGTGTACATCTAGCGTCCTCCCACCTTATTACCTCTATAATATGTACAAAATTCACCCCCTTATTCTCCCTATAACATGTCTTCCACCAATCAACGTTCACCGTCCCCTCTCGTATTTATACTCATGAGAATAGTCATTTACCAATAACATAATAACTTTCCCATTTACCAAAATCGAGATTTTGAAATTTCAATAATCAACATCAATCCTCAAACCATTTCTCAATAAATTCTTGTTCCACATGACAAATTTATAAATTCATAATTTCATACTATTTTTCAATAACATAAAGTATCTCAAGGCAATTTCAACAATGATGCCTTTCATTGTTCAAATAATAATTCAATGGCATTTCAAGAATCTCATATAATTCGAAATCACTCACAAACATCATACAAGCATACATAACAAGTGGAAAGTGGTTACCTTTCACCAAGGATATAAAAAGAATTACTACAAAGTCAATCCTGTGCTCAAACCAACAATCCAATAATCAATCTACACCATTAATATAACCACAAATTAATATAAGCTAATTAATTAAGCTTATATATATAGTTAAATTTCTAATTTAATAATTTTTATTCTAAATTCCAACAACTCTCATAACCCAAAATTAAGTATTTTAGAACTAACTTATAAATTTTTTCTAACAGGCTAAAATATTCATTTCCATCCTTTGGATTATTTACTTTAATAAAAAGAATTCTCCAAAATTCTCAAATATGAAATTATTATATTTTACATTCTAAAAAAAAAAATCTATTTAAAGTTTAAACCTCAAAATAAAATCATCAAAAATTCAATAGTAACTCAAATATTTATAAATAAATAATATACTCAAAATTCTATTAGTATAACTATTATATTTCTTTTTCTTCACAAATAATAAAATCTTTTACCTAAAATAATTATTTTAAAATTTCCAGTCATCCAATAACTAAAACTAAACCGATTAAAATCTTAATAATATGCCAAACAACTCAAATAAATTATTTAACATAATTTTGATCGGTACAAATATAATATATTTCATAAATAACATATTTTTCAACTAAATAAATTAATTTAAATATTAAAAACCAACAAATAGGCAAATCCAAACCGATAGAAATGATCTGTTATAATAGATCTACAATACTGTGGTTAAAACTCATCAAAACTCAAAACTTATCCCATATATAAGTCTCAAAATTTTCTCTAATTACTATAATAATACTGTTATTGGAAAGCTCAAAATATATAGGAAATATTTATGAAGAAAGTTTAATGAAAAGAAGTAATTTTATGTACCTAAATTATCTCCAAAACTTGCCTTCTCCTTCACAAAGACCGCAACTCCGCTCTTGCTATCTCTCTCTCGCTCTCTCTCTATCTTTCCCTCTTTCTCTCTCGTGCACCCACATCTTCTACCTCCCATTCTCTCTTTTATTTTCCATCTCATTCCATCCTCCAACCACCCCATCTCCAATTTTCCTCTTTCATTGACTTCTTCTCTCCCAAATTTCCTTCTTCGTCTTTAATGCTACCTCCTTTTCCACCGAATTCGGTGGAAAAGGAGGTATGTTTTTTTTTAATTACTAAAATATTATTATATTATAATAATAAAATATTATTATTTTTTAAATATTTTTTAACTATTTTTTTTAAACCTAAAATAAAAACTAGGATATTACAACTCTCCCCACCTAATAGGAATTTTGTCCTTAAAATTTAAACAACCAAACACAAAAATCAAAAACCAAAGGCT